GGCAGCAAGGGCTACAGTGAATTGTCAGGTGGCTGCAGCCTCCCTATGGCTCCTGGTCTACCACCTGCCCTGCCCCAGTCTGGGGGTATATGCCCCCCATGCCCTCCCACCGCTCACCCAGCTGGGGCAAGGAGTGTGCAGAACGAAGCTGCGGCTTGTCTGGGGGACACGGGGAGGGCAGGGCAGCTCCTGCCCCTCTGCACCGCTTGTCCGGAGGCAGCACAGCACCTCTGTCCCATACGTGCCCTGCCCCAGCTGGGTGAGCAGCAGGAGGGCATAAGCGCCACTCCCAGTGCTGCTGCTGCCCTCCCAGACTGTAGCCCGGTGAAACCTCAGCCCTGGCCACCCCACCCCACACAAATCCAGGGGTACACGCCTCCCCATGCCTTCCCAGACAAGTGGCAGGAGCAGCAGTGGGAACCGCCAGATGAGCTGCCGGATGAGCAGCATGCAGCGGCAGGAGCCGCTGCCCCCTTGCTCCCTGTGCCCCACCAACAAGCTGCAGCTCAGTCCCACGCCTGCCCAGCCCTAGCTGGGCAGCACTTGCCTCAGCCCTGGTCCCAGCCCCAACCCCAGTTGCTCCCTCACCGCAGGAAGCATTGATTTGCCCCCTCCCATACCCCTTCCCTCCCCTTTCCCCACAGTGGATTTACCAGCTGGATGCAGCTGTATCGACCATTGTAAAGGAACCAATCCCCCATTTATAACACTGTTCCTATGGGAAAATTGGTTCTGACTTACAGTGTTTCGACTGCACCCATCAGGAGGCTAACGTGTCTTTACACAAATGCCAGGAGTATGGGGAATAAGCAGGAGGCGCTTACACTGTTACTTGCTAGCACCCAGTATGACCTAGTCGGCTTAATGGAAACATGGTGTGATTCTACTCACGACTGGGCAGTAGGCATTTAGGGGTACAGGTTGTATAGACGAGACAGAGTGGGGAAAAAAGGCAGGTGACAGAGGTGGTCAAGGGAGACCTAAATTACCCATCTGCTGGGAGGAGCAAACAGCCAAAACAAACCACTCACATAGGTTCTTAAACTGCTGCAGAACCTCCACCTAACCCAGGAGGTGACTAATGCCTTGCTAGACCTGGTCTGAGCAACAGGGGATGATCTTGTGGGTAACCTGGGAGATAGTAACCATCATTTGGTTGAATTCACAATACAGCAAAGGGTGGGAAAAATAACCAGCGAGGCTAAAGTGTTAGACTTCAGAAGGGCCAATTTTAGTAAACTTAGAAGACTAGTTAGTGAGGTGGCTGAACTCAAGAGCATCGAGCTTATGGGGGTCCAGGAGGGTTGGAGGTTTCTCAAGTGAGTGATCCTTGGGACACAAAAGGAGACTATTCCATTACGCAGGAAAGGGGGCAAGGGGACAAAAAAAGCCCCCTTGGCTGAACAGGGAACTCCAGAAAAGACTGTGGGCAAAGAAAGAGATTTATAGGCAGTGGAAGCAGGTGGCAGCAACCAAGGAGGAATATACCTCCCTGGTGTACTATTGCAGGGAATCAGTTAGGCAGGCCAAGGCAGGACTGGAGCTTAGGCTGGCTGCAACAATCAAGGACAATAAAAAGTCCTTCTACAGATACATAGCAAGCAAAAGAAAGGCACAGAGTAACATAGGGCCCCTGCAGGACAAATCAGGACAGTTGGTGGCTGACACAGGGAGAAAGGTGGAGCTCTTCAATGAGTTCTTTGCTTCAGTATCCCTGAGTACTGGCCAAGACAATTCCCCCAGTTTGAACATAGATAGATGTCTGGGAAGCTCTAGACCACCAATCGTTAGTACTGACTTAGTTAAGAAGCACTTGGAGGGGCTGGATGGCTACAAGTCAGCAGGCCTGGATGACCTCCATCCACAGATGCTAAAGGAATTGGCCAGTGTCATAGCTGAGCCGCTGGCACTGCTGTTTGAGCACTCGTGGTGCTCTGGC